AAGGAGGGGGTGGAAGAGAGTAAAGGGCTGTTGTTAAACAGTTTCTTACCGTAAGAGGGAGTTCAGACCTAGATCTTTCCAGTTAATCACACAACAAATTTAGCGCATTGCAATAAAAAGCCGCTCAGAGCCGACTGGCTCTTTCAGGCACTGAGTCCGAACAGGATCCTTCCACCCAGGCATCTCCTCCACTGGGACCCGCCAGCGCCCAGCACCATGTGGGTGACCAAACTCCTGCCAGCCCTGCTGCTGCAGCATGTCCTCCTCCACCTCCTGCTGCTTCCCATCGCCATCCCCTATGCAGGTTAGTTTTCTCTTCTTCGTTGTTATTATTTCCACTATCTCTTGCTAACCTATTTTTTCCCTAGCGCTCTCTCTCTCTTTCCCCTATCCCCAGCATCCTTTCTTAGCTCAGTATGTGGTATGGGTTTTTTTTAAACTTCTCAAGGTCCTTTCTTTTGATCTATTTGCAAAGCATTTAAAATGATAATTAACATCCCCTCAGCGTGTCTCCCCACCCCACCCTTACTCCCTAATGACCCAGCCCCTTCTCACTTAGTTTAATAGGTGTGGACTTCTGGGTAGGGATGAAGCGCTAACACTGGCTGGAACTTGGATGGTTTGGACAAGTTTAAAGTTGAACAGAAGGTCTGGGCTGACGAGGGGAGAGTGATGGTCAGTGCCGCAGGGATTCATTTTTTTTTCCAGAGGATACTTTTCCATGACCATCCACGACCCCACATCACTCTGTAAACACTCAGAGCCAAATTATGGCTTTATGCAGGTCAACCTTTGGAGACGGCAGATGAAACTCTGAGTCTATGCATGTTATGAAAATGAAAGAGAAAGCCTCCCTTCTAAGATCTCAGTTTTTCTGGGTATGGATGCCTGTCTTTTTGAAACTGCAGAGCAAGGAAGGCAGAAAAAAAAACAAAATTGTGTAACTTTGATTAAAGCTGCAGAGCTGCTTTCGGCGTCTCATTTTCTGCCCTGAATTTACAGGTTGGGAAGGAGTTGCTTGGGAGTTCCTATTGCCTGGAAGTTGAGAAACTTCATTTACTGCTTTGGGACGTTTTCTGTTGTTATCAGGGCAAGAGGAAACATCTGCATTTGGTTGTATTATCATTGTAGTGGCTGGGATGCCAGCGGGAGAAAGTAGTGAGCATCATGGGTGGGCACAGGGGAATAAAAGAATGGAACACATGCCCAGATGGTAGACATGGCCTTTTTATAATCTAAAACAGAGAGCTGGCTGTGTTTTTTAAGAGAAGTTAAATATGAAGTTCGTCAGACCTCTGATCTAGCTCTTGATGTAATAGAAGAGTTGAAAACATCAGGGATGTGCTAAGTGATAAGAAATCGTTCAATCCACCTGGCTTTCTTCTCTTTTGTGAATTGGTCCTTTTGGAAAACAACACTGTGTTAGAAAGGTCAGCTTGAAAACAGGTCGGTTAGACTTCTGAAGAGGTGAAAAAGAAGTTAGTGCAATCACCAGGTTATCATGCTTGAGATGTATCCTGTTAAAATAGATTCTTATAAGACATCGCTGGTTTAGGGGAATTTAAGTATAAACTGAAATCATGGCTGATATTTTGAGGGCTTTCATTTTTAAAGATTAAAGTGTTGCTAAAGTCTGAAATAGACTCTGGTTACCTGAAATCATCTGTGCTATTGCAAGGGGAACACAGTGTGGAAAACCCAAACAGTAGATCAACCATAGACAATGTCTACTTGCTTTTGGCATGCATCATGAAGTTTTGGCAGGAGATATACATTCGTAATTATATTTCACTTTGGCTAATGTTGAAATGACTGCGTTTCCTGAGTGTAGAGAAAACGCAGCCCAAGAGTGTGCTGGCAGGCAAGGAGAGGCCAATTGGGAATTACAGATATGCTGTGAATAATTCCTGAAGTGTATAATGGTCAAATTGTCATCAAAAGAGGGTCTGCCTTTGTTTGGGTGGCAAGTTTATGTTGATAGTTGTTCTTTTTTTATTTTTATTTATTTATTTAATTTTTTAAAAATATATTTTATTGATTTTTTACAGAGAGGAAGGGAGAGAGATAGTTAGAAACATCGATGAGAGAGAAACATCGATCAGCTGCCTCCTGCACATCTCCCACTGGGGATGTGCCCGCAACCCAGGTACATGCCCTTCACCGGAATCGAACCTGGGACCTTTCAGTCTGCAGGCCGACGCTCTATCCATTGAGCCAAACCGGTTTTGGCAGTTGTTCTTTTTTTAAATAACATTCTTCAAAATGGAAAACATGGATAGCCCTCTTAGGACACAGAAAGAAAGTTTGTTCTTTTCAGTTTCATATAATGCTGAACATTTAAAATTTTTGTTGTTGTTACTTGCTTCAGTGATACTTTTTGATTTATCTTATTGTACATATTGTAAAATCTTGCAATGTTAGGAAAGAATTGGATACTATAGTAAAGTGACAACCAGTTCTGAGCAGAATGTATTATGGAGATATTTTACTGAAAAGTTTTTAAAGAAATATTCAGTGCAGTGGACCGAAGCCATGTTTATAGAAGTTGTTGCACAGAGAATTACCCTCTATCTGTTCCTAACTATACTGGAAACAAATATCCAATCCCTTGTAACAGCTGAAGCATTAAATGAGCATCTACTGTGGGGGATATAAAGATGAACAAATTAGGAAGAAACCTACATTACTGAGCAACTGTTATGGACCAAGCTCTAAAAGTGAAACTTATTTAATTCTAATAAGATTGGCATTGTTGGACTCATCTAACATGAGAAAATTGAGGTTAAAGACCTTAAATTATCTTAGTGAAGAGATAGACCTGAGTGTCTTACCCAAATCTATGTGAATGAAATATAAGGGATTAAAAAATATTTATACTGAAGCCAATAATTGTCAAATCAATTGAAACAGCCTTTAAAGAATCCATTTTGCTAAGAAATTTAAGAAAAACTGTGGGCAGTTGCTGCAAGTTTTCGAGTTGACAAGGTACCTGACAGTGTAGTTGTTTTGGTTGCTGTGTGGATGGAGAGTGGTAGGCAGAAACAGCAGAGGAAGAGAACAGGAGCTTCTATGGGATGAAATGAAATGGAATGAAAGAGAATGGAATGAAAGAGAAGGGAAATATCTAGGGAGGCCCCTAACCTCCTACTGAACATTGCTTCATTTTGCAAATCTCTTTGCTGCTTCTCAAATAGCAACATTTGATTGAAGTCTGACAGGATGCCTTTCTTCTTGACATCTTTATTTGTGACGCTGTTACCTTCTCTGCAGAAGGGGAGATGATTGTGATTTCCAAGTTCCTAGATAATAGCAATGAAATTCTGGACCAGTATTTATGATTCTTGCCTTTGAGAAGTTTAAAATCTCCTGTCACAACCATTCCCTCCCATTAATTATTTGTATACTTTCATCTTAACATCTTGCCACTTCAAGCTGTTAATCACTAATCATGTGGGTAGGTTTCTCAGAATATGTAGAGCCAGATTCCTGCATCTTTCCACACCCTGCAAATCCTTTCCTTGCACGACTTTCCTTTGAAGTCAATGGTTAGTCCACACAGAGAAGAAAATATATGAGGTACTGAGAGAAATGAGTGTGAGGCCCAGGGACCAGAGGGAGAAATGTGTCTTTCTTCAAGCACCTCGATACATTTGACCCTACTCTCTGTTTGTAGGTTTTCACTACAATCCTAATGATTTCAGTCCTAAAATAGGGACTTTAGGTTCTTCAGGAAACACAGCTCCCAGAATGTTTCCCAGACTGGGAGAAGAGGAAAAAGTAGTTACAATTTGAAGTACAGGAAACATGACAAAGTTGGAGTGATCTCTCACCCTTTGATTTCATTTCACTATTTTGTTTATAAACTTCAACTAACAGCCATGCACAAAATTAGTAGGGCAAAATCTGATCCAAAGATATTTTTGAGTTTCTTCCCAAATTAAACTTGTCTTTTAACTGTTTTCAGTAAAATAAGCATCAGTTGTTACTACATATGGAAGATAATTTTTTTTTGGATGCTGCTTTTTAATGACTTCCGTTTTGAATTTTTCTTTTATTGAAGAAGAAATTAAGTTTATAGGTGTATGGGTTACATGATGTACAATTAGCTTGAACTTCACATTTTTTAGTATATGTTACTGATCCAGTAGAAATGACTGAATTATAAGGGAAAGCTTCTGAGTCATGACAAATGAATAGTGGAAAGGGAATCCTGGTATCTGGTTCTGATCACCTCTCATTAGCTTTGTAGCCCAGATAAGCCTTTCACTCCTATTTATTATCTAGTAAAGGGAAATCATGGATTTATTTGCCTTTTAGAATGCTTTTTGATCTTTAGATGAAATGTAGTGATGGAAAAATTTATCAGCAAGCAAGAGTAGACTATTTTTATGAGGTACAGCCACACATTAACACATTTCAATAGGACAACTGAGGAGCTGTAGAATTAAACACAACCAGCAAACCACAGAGACTTTTTTTTCTCACAGTAGTCTTCAATGCTCGCTTTCATATTACATGGTATCAAGAAAAGAAGCAGAGCATTGACCAGGGATTCTATGTAATTAGTAAAATACATACCTGAATTTAATGTTAGTCTTGGACTTTTTAAATTTCTCTCTCTCACTTAGATGTGTATAATAAATACATAATACATGAGGTCATTTTTAATTCAATATTTTTAGTTAACAGAATTCATTTGATATATATAATGCTTCCATTTTGGTGGACAATTTTTTAAATAAATGATCTGCATCTATTAACTATATTTGTTTCTAAGAAATAGTTTTATTTGTGTAGGAAATCAGATGATTATTATGCTGTGAAACATTTCATAGCACCTGTGAAATAGTGCACTAAGGTCAAATGAAGGAGAACCTCTTAATGAAGAAACTTATCTTCCATTAACATGGTCCAGTATTATAAACCAACATTTGTAAAGAATTGTACTATTTTTTGCTTGGGAGAGTAAGTTTCACTCTTATGCCAGAAATTAAAGAATAAAATTTCAAAAACAAAAGTAAAACTTTGCATATTAATAACATTATTTATCCAAATTGGTTTCCAAATATTTACTTAATGATTGTAGTTTAAATAGCTCCTTTTAGTTCAACTATAATACAACTTTTATTTTTCTTAGATTGAGTAATTGGGATATTAGCATTTCAGGTAATTAAACAAAGTCATCTGGCGAGTCAATGAGAATGCCAGAATTATCATCTGTCTGCCAACGTTATGCAAGGCATTTGGTCCGCACTCAATAAAAAACATGTTGATAGATTATTTGGTTGATTGAATTTCTATGTTAAAATGTCGTTTAAATTATATCTGTTGTGCCATAGCCATTTAATCTTGTAGGGCAAAGAAAAGTTAAAAAAATGAAAGCATTACTACAGAAATTAATACCAGTCTTTTGGACCCTGTGTTCTGGAGTTTTATAGAGAACTAGACATTTAGAAGACTTCATGTTTTCTCTTATTTATTGTGAACTTCAGGTTAGGAAAGACATTAATGAGTAGCATCTGTCCTCTTAATAAACCAACTGGAGCCAGTGGTTGCTGGCAAACTTAAGAGTACAATGCCATTCTTGGTACCTCACTCTACTAGCCATAGTTCCAATTTTTTTAGACAAAAATTTTCACTCTCTTTTCTTGACACATTTCACCACATATAAAAGCCAGGAATGCATTGTCTGTTCTACTGTCCAAGTTACTTCTGTACTGATGGCTCTAATCTAAATCTTCATGAAATATTTACAAGCCATATTCTCACATTCTTTCTTAGCAATGCTAAGAGAAAAGAAGGCATCATAAGTGTTTAAGAGTGGGGGTTCTGAAGCTAAGGCAGCTGGGTTTCGAGTCAGATCTTGTAAGTGGTCAATTTTCCCCTGTGTCTTGGTATCTACATCTTTAAAATGAATATATTATTGCTGCCTTTCTTATAGGGTGTTCAAAAGGATTGACAGGCAGAGGAGGGCACAGTCATGTCTATCCTTATTAAACAATAGCTGCAGTCTCTTAGACATTTTCATCCTCATGGTAAAGATGGTGATCATCATTACAAACCAGACAACTTGAGGCAAATTGAGAATAAAGAAGCAAGTTCATGATACTCTAATGTTATTCAGTGGATTACATCTTTTAGGATGTTTTAGTTCTGTTCTCAGGTTTTTAATAGGAGGTTTCATGCTATCTAGGCGCCTTGTCGAGTACTTTCATGAAGAAAAATGATGTTGTTACATTAAAGGATGAAGCTTTAACATACATTTGATTTGCAGCATTTGGATTGATTTCAAGACAAACAGTTCAATGATACTAAGAACTAGTGCCCCCAAGCACAGAAGACACTAATGTGGGAAATGAGAAGAGCTAAAATAGGAATAGTATGAAATATTTTAAAGAGCGAGTCAGAAAAATGTGTCCACTGTCCCAATTTTAGTGAGAAGTTTCTTATCTGTTATTGAATGGGCTTGTTTAATTAATACTATAACTTACATACAGACCACTTATGGGAGGAAATGACAAATTTAATTATAGAGCATGATATGATATGCCCTGGCCCTTGCTTTCATACTGTTTGGAGAATATCATGTTATTTATTTCTTTAGAGTGAACTCTGCCCTAATTTTTAAAAACATCCTTAATTTGAAAGAATGTAGATGAGTGAAGTGACTCTACATGACAAGTTATTTATTCTTCATTGATTATAATATTCTTTTTTTCTCTTAACTACCAGAGAGTATCATTGCCCACTTCACTCTATCCCCAACTCCTGGAGGTCTAGTATGTTGTCAGATAAAATCATTATCTTGTAGATGATCTTTAAGGATTTTTTTTTATGTTAGCCTCAAAAGCATATTCCTCATGTGTGTTTTTTAAATTATTATTAATAGAAGGACAGAAGAAAAGAAGAAACACACTTCATGAATTCAAAAAGTCAGCAAAGACTACTCTATTTAAAGAAGACCCATTACTGAAGATAAAAACAAAAAAAATGAATGCTGCAGACCAATGTGCTAATAGATGTATTAGGAATAAAGGACTTCCATTTACTTGCAAGTAAGTTTCTTCATTTTGTTCTTAGGAAAACTTTCCAAATACAGTATGTACTTATTATCATCATGGTTTTTGTTTTTGTTTTTGTATTTAATGTGATTTGCCCTTAAAATTATAAGCTTGGCTTTAGTGTTAAACACATTACAACAGAAGACTTAGCTCTCAGTTGATGGAAATATGAGTAAGGAAGTACATATAAACTGATATCTTTTAGACCTCATGGTGGCTTTGGTTATGGAATTTATATTTCTCATCTTATAAACAATTGAACTTTAGGAACTGAAAGGTAATTAGATTTACTTTTATCTCACTTTTAAATGTTTTAGAAAACATTTAAAATATTCTATTCAGAGTAAACATTTTTTTTTCTTTCAAGAGGAGTGAAGAAATTTTCAGAATATAAGTTGGACAGTAGCCAAAATTTACTGTAACTTATGTCCATGTCTTTAGGGATTTAAATAAAAGGTGTTGAGAGAATTAGATTAAAAACTAGAGGGGTTGGTGTCAGCAGCAGAGACTGTTTAGGCCAGGGTAGTGATGATGACGTTATAGATGAAAAGTGATGGGGTAATTCAGAGAGGCATGAGGGGACTCAGAGTGAGTTCTCTTACTTGTGAAAGTCCCTGCATGATCTCACAGAGAATTCCTTACTACTTTGCCAGTAATCCCAAAGGATGCAATTTGGAATTTTGGGCCATGAAGGTGACACTTTCATCCTAACTGCCCAAGGAAAATGTGTTTCCTAGTTCTTCTCCATAAACATTTCTCCCCTCACTTACTTTCCTCCCTTTCATTCCCTATTTCATCCCACATGTTAGAGGATTTAGCATGACACCCTGTAAATTTTAAATTCTGCTCTATAACATTTGGGTCATGACACATAATGTGAACACAGATTTAGTAATGTCATGGCAAGTGGTCTGAATTTCATCTCGCCTTTCTCAGAGAAATGAATGTTATGGGCCTGAGGGGAAAGGACATGGTCAGAGAATAACTTCAATAGATTTAGAGGGCGGAGAGACTATCTCCTTTCTATCCATTTACAGCTCCTCTGGAAGTATTTTATAGCCAAACTGCCACTTTCAGGGAGATATTTCTTGGCAAGAATAGTGGGGGATTGACTTTGCAAGTATTTTCCTATGATGATTCTGCTTCTTTCCCCTGACTTTCTGATAAAAGCCTTGAGTTAGTTAAAAACAAATTAGAGAAAACCACTCTCAATCAGCATCTCAGCTGTGTAGATTTATGGAGATGTTCTTCTGGCGGAGGAGGTTGGATTTACTGTATCCCCCCCCTCCCCCCGCCGCCCCTTGGGGTTGGAAGGGCAGAGCATAGAGAATTAGAGAACCACAATCATTGTTGGTTTTTAACTCTGAATCTGACAATACACTCTCCTGAATCCACAAGTAAGGAAAGTATTGCTACCTTTCAATTTTCACATTAATCAGCCTTATGCCTATTAAAACCAAACCAAAACAAAACAAAAAAACCTTTTCCTTTGTTTTATTTAGTAGAAACGAAAATTAATTTGCTTCACTGGAGAACACATGTGACCTGATTAATATATCTTTATATACCCCATGTATATGAGGTTTCATATTTTCTTAACATATTCTGGTTGAGTTAAAGTTAGTCTGCAAATTTATGGCAACCTGTACAGAAAATCACATGTAATAAAACCCATGCACAGCCCAAGTTTTCCTGCCTAGAAATTGTATCATCCTTCTCACTTATCTATCCCAGTATGTGTGTCTTATACATATGTGTTTGGAACCACTAAATACATTAGTTATTCAGAATTAAATATACATACTGTGATACTCTGAAATTAGGTTCTTAATGAATTAAATGATATTTTTGCTGACTTGTTATATGGACTAGAATCATTGGCAAACAAGGGCAAATATAGGAAAATGTTGGAAAATACCAACAACGCTGTGTGAAAGCATTTGCGATTGAGTAGGCATGGAGTGGAACATTGTCAAACACTCTTTTCTCTTGAGAAGGGATCAACAAAATTGATTGCATAGAGATTGAAATGTTCCTTTGCTGGGTAGGAAAGATAACCAGAGTGCCTGGTTCTAAGCTCTTCAGAAAATTGCCATTCATCCATTGGCTCAAGAGAAGAAAACAGGTGGCATTCCTCTTCTAGCCATGACTGAGTTACTCTTACTGGAATTGTCCTCCTGCCATGACCAACTAATTCTTGAAATGAAGATGATAATTAAAATTAGGCTAAGATAAAGTCAAACTCTTAAAGTCAAACTTAAATTTGACAGCCAGGATCCAGTCCATATGGAGTGTACAATGGTCGAAGGAAAAAGTTTTCTGAGAGAATATGGCAGAGTAATGGAAGAAGAGAAAAAAGTGAATGAAATCAGTGAGCTGGAGACCCTGTCCCTCACTTTCCAGATGTAACCACATTTGTATTCACAACGGCTAATCTTGCACGTTCCCCATGGGGCTCCTGCAAAGTTATCTCATGTCAAAGCTGTATAGAAAAGTAGTTTATATATGTTTGCTACATTTTTATTTTAATGTAAAGTTAAGTGGGAAGCTATTGATTTATTTTTAAATGTTTGTTTATTTTTATATATGTTATTTATATAATTACTATGGTTTCGAGGTCATTTAACACTCTCCCCCTAACACTGCAATAAGTAAATAGGGAATTTAACATGTATGGCATAAGCTTATAGTCTACCAGATCACAATACAAATCTATTATTAGCCACTTCTTTTTTTTTTAAATTTGTTTCATTGCTTAAAGTATTATATTTGTCTCCTTTTTTTTTCTCCCCTTGACCTTCCCCTGGTATTCTTTTTTTTAAAATTTGTTTTATTGCTTAAAGTATTACATTTGTCTCCTTTTTTTTTTTCTCCCTTTGACCTTCCCCTGGTCTCCCCTACCCCCCAGTGTCTTGTCTTATCAAGTTATTCTGCCACAGCTACAAAAATAATACTTTTATGTTTTGCTTTTAATTACTATGTCAGCTGTAAAATGTTTATAACAGGTAGATATTTTAAAATACTTGTATGTAAATCAAAGCACAAAGTTTATGAATATGTTTTGAAGTTATGGATATAGAATGAAATGTAGTAAATAAAATATAAAATAGTAAGTAAAATATTTTCTAAAATTTTATGTCTTTTTTGTATTTGTTTTATAAAAATTATTTCCCCTTATTGATATTATTTAAAAGTTGTCAAAATACTAAGAAATGAAGGCTTGTCCATGGTGACATCATAAGTAGCATAGTAAGGAATTTTAATATCATTTCTTAATGGGAAGAAAACACTTCAGAATTCCAACATCGGTTCTTATGTATAAAATGTTATCAAATACTTTACTATTTATGGTTAAGAGATTTTTGCATTTATAATTTTAGTTTAGAAAGACTTTTTATTGCCCTCCTTGGTTAAACCATGTGCCCAATCTTTAAAAACTGTATAAATAGTAGTATTCCTTCTTTTCATTCAGATATTTTTTTCAGGGCCTTTGTTTTTGATAAAGCAAGAAAACGATGCCTCTGGTTCCCTTTCAATAGCATGTCAACTGGAGTGAAAAAACAGTTTGGCCATGAATTCGACCTCTACGAAAACAAAGGTAACCGGCCACTTTCTAAATATCCATAATGAAATCAAGTGTAAAAGTATGTAAACTTCTGCCACAGTTCTCTTTCTCATGGATTTTTCTGTTATATACTGGATCTATTATGCAGTCAGTTCATCTATTAAGACAGATGACACTAGAGACTTGACAATAGAATGACACTTTTGATTACAGAGGTCATTTCCCAAACTTCCCATAATTAGATTACCTCTTCTCAGTTTATTTCTAGGAGCCTCTCCTAGAAATGGTATTCTCCATGTCATTTTGGAAAGTGCCACCTTAAGCTATTAGTTTAAGACATCTTACATTACAGCAAATTTGGGGATTACTATAGTATTTTAAATTTTAACAACTTTAAATATCTAAGCTATAGTGATAATTGCTGATAATAAAAAATGTGGAGATATTGAAAAAATAGTTGGATCTATTTCTAATTATTATGTTCTATAAAACAT